AAGGGTTGTTTGAATGGTGGATACAGAACCCAGATTAACTTCCCAACAAATTCAACCTGATCTGCAGACACAGGTACAACAGTGTCAGCTCGCTCTATCCGTCACCATCTGAATGAAAAGGGACATTATGGAAGGAGACCCAGGGGGATACCACTGCTGACACAAAGGCATAAAAAATTATGCTAAAACTTATGTGACAAAACCAGAATCCTTCCGGGAGAATGTACTGTGGACAGATGAGACAAAAGTAGAGCTTTTTGGTAAAGAACATCATGGCACTCTTTACAGAAAAAGAAATGAGGCATTAAAAGAATAGAACACAGTCCCTACAGTCAAACATGGTTCAAAGATGTTTTAGGGTTGCTTTGCTGCTTCTGGCAATGGATGCCTTGACTGTGTGAATCATATCATGAAATCTGATGATTACCCAAGAAGTTGAGCCAATTTCAGAAAGCTACATCTCCACCAGAGGTCATGGACCTTCCAGCAGGACAATGACCCAAAACACACTTCAAAAAGCACTCAGAAATTGTTAACAAACAAAGCGCTGGAGAGTTCTGAAATGGCCAGCAATGAGTCCAGATCTGAATCCCACAGAACACCTGTGGAGAGATCTCAAAACAGCAGTTGGGAGAAGGCATCCTTTAAATCTGAAGGCCCTGGAGCAGTTTGCAAAAGAAGAGTGGTCCAAAATTCCAGTAGAGAGGGGTAAGAAGCTCATTCGTGGTTACAAGAAGCGATTGATTTCAGTTATTTTTTCCAAAGGGGGTGCTACCAAATAAGTTAAGGGTGCCAATAATTTTGGCCAGTGCATTTTAGGGTTTCTGTTTGGAATTGTATCAGATTTGACGTTTCTTCTCTGTTTTTTTTTAAATGTAATTACAATTCAAACCAAAGAAACGAACATGTGAATACCAAAACATTTGCAACTGGAACAATTTTCTGAGAGAAGGGTTGCATTTTCTGACAGGATTGCAAAGGTGCCAATATTTTTGGCCATGACTGTACTTGCACCTCCCTCTTCCTCTTCCTTGTCTCTGGTGAGTATTATGAGGCTGTGGGGTGTTCTTCCAGTGGAAATGCACATGCAAACAGCAGCAATGGGAAGAGAGATTGGTGGCAGCTGTTGCTAACTAATGGGCAGTAGTGTGTCTGAGATGACTGCCTGTTCTTCACTAATGGCCATCCTGGCCATGCTTTCCAACTACATGCTTTAGTACAGCCTATGAATATATTTGCAGTCATTGTCACCAAGCCGAATGGTTCCAAAGTTAGGCTTTGCTGTATACTTGATTTTTGGACTTCTAAGCAGATAACTACATTGTTGAATTGCAGACAGTTATTTGGTACCAGACTCAGTAATTTTGATAGTGCCTTAACTTTTGCAAACTTAAAAAAAATGTTTTTTCTTGTACTAGGAAAATGGAATAGTTTGCTTCATTAAAGGTGTTCTAATGAAAATTTGTATTGTAAGCATGAGCGCCACAATAATTTTGGATCATTTTTGTTTTACAGATTTGTCAATGGCTGTACAAAAGTTTTCTCAGTCACTTCAAGATTTTCAGTTTGAATGCATTGGAGATGCTGAAACAGATGATGAAATCAGCATTGGTAAGTGTTCTATTATATTTATATTCAGATGTTTTTATTCAAATATTGTGTAGAGTTTGGAACATTATATGCCATGGTATGCTATATATCTATCTTATATTTGGGGTGGGGGGAGGTCATCTAGCCATGTGTAATTCAGGTTCCAGTAATCTGGAATTTAGATTATTATTTTGGATCAGGAAGTGCTATGATCTTTGTACATCTTGGCATTCTTTTTAGCAAGCTAATAAAATGTGGCTTGATGGTGTTACTTTTAGATTTGTAGTAGCTTGATAGACCATCAGTTTGGATTCCATCTAAAAAGGGAAGCTAGGAAGGTAACAACAAGGTGTGGGGCTTTCTTGGTAATAGTCCCCTATTTTGTGGAGCAAACTGGCAGTTGAGGTGCACCAAGCTTGTCCCTCCCAATATTGAATTAACTGCTCAAGACAGAATTATAAAGACAGGCTTTAAAAAAATCACATCCTCAAATGATGTTGATTTTAAAGTTTGAATTTTAGGTTTTCTGTAAATGACCACATTCAAGTCTCTGATAGTGCCATTTTGATTATGCTATGTTCTTATGGGAATGAAGGGTGGGTGGTTGTGGGGTTTTGCTTGTTTGAATTTTAGGTTTTCTGTAGATGACCACATTCAAGTCTCTGAGAGTGCCATTTTGATTATGTTATGTTCTTATGGGAATGAAGGGTGGTTGGTTGTGGGGTTTTGCTTGTATTAAGCTTAGAGTAGTGTGAATTCACTAATCAGGCAGTATATAAATTAAATAGTTAAATAAAAATCAATCAATCAAATTGGTTTAAATCACAATTTAAATCACTACTCAGGCTAAGTTTAATCATGTATCCCACCTCCAGAAGTGCAGCCTTGCTTTCTATAACCTTATTGTATACTTTTCATAATATATTTTGTCACAATTATTGTCACTATATTTTGTCTATAGTGATTCCACCTCCAGTAATCCTTGTATGGGTACTGTCCCAAAGAGCAGAGCAGGTTCCCGGGCAAAAGGTCTCATGAATACACTCAGGCCATACTACTCCCTTCCAAAGTGTACACTTCGGGAGAGAGAAGTAAAGACTAGACTTTGGGCGTAGTTCTAACTAGCCAAGATAATGGAATACCGGCTGCGCTGCCTTAAGCCTGCAGAGGCTGTATCCTGTCTAGCCTTATGAATAAGGACTATTTGTGCCTGAGACATACAGATAAGGTGTGTGTGTGTGTGTGGGTATGCGCATACACACACATGCATCTGTGCAAGCATGTATGCATGTGTGTGCGTTTGGGGGGGTGCGCGCGCATACACACACGTGCATCCGTGCAAGCATGTATGCATATGTGTGCATGCATGTGTGCATGTTGTAGTGCCGCATATTATTTTCAACCAGTAGAAGTTGAGAAATTGGACGCCTACTAGCTTTTTGAGAACTAACCAAAGTGTACTGCTTATATACCACCTCATAGTGCTTAAAGCACTCTCTGGATGGTTTATAAATTATACAGGCTATACATTCCCCCCACCCAGAGGGCTGGAAAACTGAGTCAGCCTCAAGCTAACTATTCGGGATTGAACCAGTAAACATATATACTGACTTGTGCTAGGTTGTGAGAAGAGTTTGGGTTACAGTACTACAGTTTAACCACTGTGCCATGAGACTTCTTTTCTTTTCTTTTCTCTTTCTTTTTTTTCCCTTTTTCTCCCCCCACCTTTTAATTTAAAAAAAGCTACAGCATTCAGCTGGGTAACACACAGGTATTGGGGGAAATGGAATTAGGAAGGTCGTCAAAATTGGAAATGCAGCTCAACTGAACTATTGAAGATTGCGGGTGCATTTTGTGTTTGGAGCTTACACAAAGATTTTCCAGCTCTCCTAAGGTGCCATTAAACGATGCACAACGCAGTTACTTTCTAAGACTGCAGGTGGAAGAAGACTTTGCTTCTTCTCTGAATGTGAATAGAAGTATTCTTTTCAAAGAAATAGTTGTGTTAATCTCTCTCAACATACTGGAAACATTAAAGGGAGAATAGAAAAAGGGGGGGAAGAGGGAGAGAAATCAAAATGCTGTGGTACTTTAAAAACAAACTCAAGAAAATGTGTTTGCAGTCCTTGTGTGTTATGAAGTGTATTTTAATAATGAAAGCTCACAGTGAAATAAATCAGTTAGCCTTTAAAGTGTCAAAACTTTTGACTTTTCTCACAGACTTTTTATGCTTTTTCCTCTCATTTAATTTTTGCTAGAATGGAAATTCTGTGTGCAAATTACTGAGCAAAAGATTTTGGCCTTTAGTGTGCTTAGTCACCAGCACCCTCCTAAGGTACTAAATGGAATAGATACCTGCAGCATTGCTAGTCTAAATTGTCAGGCAATGTTGTTCAAAAACAGTGAATAGATAAAAACTAGTGTTTGGGCAAAAATACTGCATATGTATAAGTTTGGCCAGGTGAGTTTGTCTTTAGCATCAATTACATGCATACACATCCGTACAATGGGTGTTTATATATAGTTGATTCTTTTGTAAAGCACTAAACATAATTTCAACAAAGATTTCTGGAACTGTAAAGGATGCAGTTCATCACATAAAACATAAAACGAGTACATAAACGCGAAGAGACATTTGCTTTACAGAGGATATCTCGTAATTAACATTGATTCTTAAATCAAAAGCTCTGCTTTCTTGTTCAAGAGAAAATCTTTTCTGTAAGAATTTATAAAAGTAAACAGTGAACAATGTACTCTTTTCATGGTAGATATCCATCCCGCATCTCCAAATTGTGGCAAGGGAATTACCGAAAGTGATTTGCTATCAGCAAATCCAGAGTGTCTTGCAAAAGCCATCAGTAAGCCTGCTGTGATAGCTTTCCGCCAATTCCTAAATGCATAGTGATTATTTATAAGAGCTGCCCTCAGCAATCTTGGGTCACACCCTTGTGATTCCAAACACAGTGTAATCTGTGTGTCTCTGAAAGAGACCGTCATTTCTACTAGCACTGTGACTGACAGGATCTCCTGTATTAAACAAAGCATCTGCTGTAGGTCTTGCAGTGTAATTCATTTCATTGAGTGCAGACGGCCAGGATGCTGTCTGCAGTATGTAGACAAAACAACAACAGACCTACGTGGAAGATTCAGAAACCCTAAGTCTGCCATCTTCTAGGATTCAGAAATCCTAAATCTGCCATCCTAAGGCTACATCTTCACTAAGAAGCTGAAACAACCAGTGTCTAGACAATTCAGCTCTGAATAGTGTGGCCTTTCGGACTTGTCTTTGGTAGGAATCAAGATACAATCAAATCCATGCATTAAAATCAGGGAAAACATCTGGATTGAGAGTCTAGCTCCCTGAATATATCATGACCTGAACCCTTAACATAATTCATTGGCTTTAGAATACCATGTCCTCTAGGTTCTAGAACTGCCACTTGATAAACAGAACTACCGTATTTTTTGCTCCTAGGACACACTTTTTCATTCCCAAAATGTGGGGGGGAATGTCCGTGCGTCTTACGGACCGAAGGCAGCAATTTCGTCGCCGCTGGCCCCGTGGGGGTAGCGTCGCAAGGGTCCGGGTGAGCCTTCCAGGACCCTTGCGAGGCTCCCCCCCCCCGACGGGGCCAGCGCCGGCGAAATCGCCAGCTTCCAGGTGGGGGGGACGTGGCAAGGGTTCTGGAAGCTCACTCATACCCTTGCGACACTCCTCCCACTCCCGCACGGGACCAGCGCTGGCAAAATCGCCAGGTTCTGGGAGTGTTTGGAAGCTTGGGGAGCCTCCAAACACTTCCAGAACCTGGCGATTTTATCCCCCTGGCCCTGTGGGGGGGAGCATGGCAAGGGTCTGAGGGAGCCTCCCAGGACCCTTGCCACGTTCCCCCCCGCATAGGACCAGCACTGGCAAAATCTCCAGTTTCTGGGAGCCTTTTGGGGCTTAGGAACCCT